CTCTTGCTCTCTCTCTTCCTCTACTCCTCCCCTCTTATCTCCTCTCATCATTTCCTCTCTCTTCCTTACCCCTCTCTTTCCTTCTTCCCTTGTGTCCTGACACATAACAGGAACTCAATGAAAATAAGTTTTCATCATGATTAAAAGATACTGAGTGGCCCACTGGAACACAAGTATACTTATTTTAAAAGGAGCTGCAATTTAGAATGAATGCTCTGATAATATGCAAGGATAAAGACTAATGTTTACTTCTGAATAATACCTACTGTAATAGCTTTAATAGAACAATTATTTGTAATTCTATCCACAAACATATTTATTAGAATAAGCTCTTGTCCTTTCCACTTTGAAAAATGTTGATGAAGAGTGGCCTCCTGATTAGAAATATAGGTTATAATTCCCAATTTCCTCTTGCAGCCTGGTAACAATCATCATATTGAAGGACAGAGATTCTTAATTCAAATGGATACATAGTTTTAGTTAATTATAGACAAGATCAAAAAAGATCTTTAAGTAGCTAATTTGCTAAAAGTTAGCCCTTGTTTCCAAGTTAATATTTAAGTATATAATAATATGCAATAATAATAATAAGTATATAATAATATATAACAATAGTATAATATGATGTTTTCTCAGGTCAAAAACTAACATTATATCCATTCTAGGAAAAAAAAAAAAACTCCTTTAGAAATGTCATTACTGTTCAGATTATTGATCCCATTCTGCTGTCTGGGCCAGAGTGTTTAGCAAGACTATTTCAGGGACCTGGACAGGACATTTTTATTGGCAATGAGACAACAGATTACCCTGAGTTCAAGTGAGAAGACCCAGTGGCCACGTCTATATCACTCTAACATTCTTCTGATGTGCAGCACAGATGGTGAAATATGTTGATGGATGAGGTTGTCTCAGCAGCACAGTTATCTTCCTAGTCCCGCCACACATTTCAGCTGAATGACATATTAAACATGGCTGTCCCAAGACAACTGGACAGATTTATAACTACAGCTGTTAAATGGGACCCTCTAGGAAGTTCTGAATATAGATTCCCTTCTCATAACCTTGACTTTAAATTTTTTTCTTTTCTTTCTTTCTTTTTTTTTTTTTAGAGAGAGAGAGAGCAAGCATGCATGTATGTGTGAGTGGTGGGAAGGAGCAGAGGGAGAGAGAGAATCTTAAGCAGGCTTCACACCCCGTGCATAACCAGATGGGGGCTCAATCTCATAAGCCTGAGATCATTACCTGAAGTGAAATCAAGAGTCAGACACTTAACTAATTGAGCCACCCAGGCATCCACTAACCTCTAATTTCTAAGAACCATCTTGAGTTGGGTCTGAGTTGGGTAGGGGAAGGAAGGAGCATAAAGGGAGACTGGGGGAATATATGCAATAAAATAATCTCAAATTATTAAGAGCACAACATAAAGAATATAGTCATTGATATTGTAATAGCACTGTATGGTGACAGATGATAGGTGCACCTAAGGTGAGCTTACATAACCCATAGATATATTGAATCACAAATGTGTACACCTGAAACTAATGTAACATTGCGTGTCAGCTACAGGAATTATAGGATGAATTGTATTTTTAGAAGAGAGCATTAAAATGAAAATGCTAACTTAAATTTGAATTATCTAGGATAATTTCTTTATATACTCAGGTTCTGTGAAGAACTGGGAGTTTGCTATCAGACAACTTCTCCACTGTTTCTATTTACAGGAAATAGGCTAGTAGAGAAAAGCACTTAATTATGGTCCTTGGTAATCAGGTTCTTGTGTGACTTTAAACATGTTACCTAAACTTTGCAGGTATCAGTTTCCTCACTTGTAAAATGAGAGTGAATAGATGTGCTAAATTCTCTTATAACTACTACATTTTACATTTCTGCTCACTGCCCTAGATCTCCATTCTTATGAATAGGAATACTTTCAATTTCCTGAAAAATAACAGAACACAGCGCTAAATGCTCAGTTTCTAGAATTACACATACTTATATTTAATTTTTTCTTCAATACCTCCATCCATATAGCCTTCTATTACTTAATATAAATTGAGTCTTAGAGTCCTTGCCTATAAAATGGAGATAATAGTACTCAACATGAAGTTGTTCTTAGATTTACTTACTTTATTTTTTCATAGCACTTACTACCTTCTATCTAACTTGCCACCTGTAAGGTCCATAAGGGTAGTAATTATTGTCTTGTTTTATTCACAGATACATCCCAAGCCTCTTAACATATAGTAGCCAGTCAGTATCTATCAAATGAATACATAAAACAATGAATGTACAGAGTTTAGTGTAGTAATTGGCAGAAAACATTTGATAAATGACCCCATAAATGATCTTGATAAATAGTCTCATTAATACCTAGAGTGTCATTTCACCATGAAGAAGTAGAAATGGAAGAAGCAGGAATGTTTCAAAAAGATAAAGGGAATGGATGACCATACCATTACCAAATATCTGCAAGAGTACCACACATTACTTTCAAAGACAAAAATATGAGCCAAGGGATGGAAACTACAGGCAGACATTTTTTTCTTTTTTTTTTCAGAGTAAGAAGAGGGGTGCCTGGGTGGCTCAGATGGTTAGGCATCTGCCTTCGGCTCAGGTCATGATCCCATGGTCCTGGGATCAAGCCCTGCATCTGGCTCCCTGCTCGGGCGGGGAGTCTGCTTCTCCCTCTCTCTCCCCTTGTCCCCGCTGCTAGTGATCTCTCTGTCAGATAAATAAATAAAATCTTAAAAAAAAAAGGAGTAAGAAGACTTTTCTAACAAAACTCCTCTAAGATGAAATGAACTGAATTACTCTTAGCTGATGAATGAAGGGATTAAGAAATCTAATTAAAGGTTATGAATCTATTATTGCATGAATCAAATGATGTGGAGAGAACTTCTTATAAATAGCATATACAAAATAAATTTTAAAATATATAAAATAATGGCACCTGGCTGGCTCAGTCAGTAGAGTGTGTGACTTATGATCTTGGGATTGTAAATTTGAGCCCCACATTGGGTGTAGAGATTACTCAAAAAATAAAATCTTAATTTATTTGTAGATATATATATATATATGTATATATATAACATTATTAAAATTGTGCATGTATGTTATATAGGTATGAAATTTTGGCCTTGTGGTGCTGTTGGCAACAAAAATAAAGATGGAATATGGCAAATATCATGAATACCTACTTATTTTCCTTGTGTACATATGACCGAAAAGCACTTACTTCTTGACAAATCATATGGGCTGGAAAATAAATGCTACTGATTTGTCTTATTAACATTGGCAAAGGCAGAAGATAGGAGCTACAAAATCTCATGCCCCAACAGAAAAACAGGACTATTTAAAGCCAGCTTCTTTCTTTCCTATTCTTTTTACCCCGGTGGTAACTGTACTTTGGAATTTAATACTGGAGTGGGAGTGCTTCTGGGTTGTATAAAACTAACTGGTGCGTCACTCTTGCCAGCTAGGGATGATTTTAGACAAAATGCATGACATCAGTGAAAAAAGAATCTCACTCAATATCATTTTTATGAAGGATAGTTGGCCTCATACTAAAATAGTCCCATCAATCTACTGCCATCAGGTCAGACAGAAAAGCATTAGGTACATAAAATGGCTGTCATAAAATGTAGCCAAGCAGGAGCCAAGTCTGATCGCAGAAGGTCAGTTAGGCATTTAGAAAATAAAGGAAGCATGTTTTCTTTAACGAGCCGTCAAAAGTTAATAACAAGTGAGTTAGCTTTCTGTTTTGGACAGAAATATTGAGAAAGATGCAAGGGTTCTAAAGGTTTTCTCTATTTTTTAAATTGGCTGCCTACTTAAAAAATGTACTATAATAAAACTTTTTAAAGTTCTAGAATAGTGAACTACATTCACATGGTCAAACTGTGAGGTCCTTTTACGAATTGTGATGGTTAATGTCATGTGACCACTTACTGGGCCATGGGGTGCCCAGATACTTGGGCTAAACTTTATTCTGGGTGTGTCTATGAAGGTGTTTCTGGATGACATTAGCATTTGCATCAATATACTAAGTAATGAAGATTGTTCTCCCTAATGTTAGTGGACCTCATCCAATCTACCAAAGACCCGAGAAGAACAAAAATGACTGAGTAAGAAGGAACTCTTCCTGCATGACTGCTTGAGCTGGGATGTTGGTCTTTTCTGGCCTTCAGACTTGAACCCAAACATTGGCTCTTCTTGGATGCCAAGCCTGTCGGTTTTCAGACCAGAACTATACCACTGGGTCTTCTGGTATATCATCTCACCTCACCTCATCTCATCTCTCTCTCTTTCTCTCTCTCCCTTTCTCTCTTTCTCACACACACACATACACCATTATATCCACTTCTCTAGAGAACTCAAATATACTGATTCAACAGCATCAGCAGGGAATGAGCTGTGCTGTACCCATCAAGTGGATTATCCAGATAATTAAAATCAGTCCCAGTAGAAATCAATGTTTTAGAAACTTGTCCGACAACAGTGTGGATGATCAGGCAATGTAGTAACACTTTTGTAATGTAAATAATGAGCCAATTTTCCAATGCTTTAAAAAATTAGTCCTAAGGCAATTCCTCACTTTCAAACTCAAAATTCTATGACTCTATGTTATAACACAAGTTTAAGTAGCCTTTCTCAAAATCAATTTCAAAAAGTCTGAAAAAATGCTTATTTCTCAAGGGAATTATGAAATGATCCAAGTATCTAAGAGCCCATCTCATTTTCTTATAGTCATTTTGTTTTCAAGACCTACGTACTCACCACCTTCATGTGTTGATTACTGTCATCATCATTAATCAGCACATGGCATATCTACTTATTTTCCATGATTATCTCCAGGCTCTGGTGTTTTATGATACTTAAGTTCTACTTCTACCACACAGATGAAGTTTCCAAAGCATCTGTCCTTATGCACCAGAAGATACCCTTTGATTCTGCCAAATTCCTGGCATTACATTCATGTGAATTTTGACATTGTCACTCACCTGCCCAGAAGAAGAAATTCGCCTGCTAGACCCAGGCGCCTCATGGCCATCAGCAGACCTCTCACTGTCATGCCTTCACAGAAGCAGGCCACCACCCGGGCCTTGGGCAAGTGACTCCTGAGCTTCTTCAGCAGTTTATCAAAGCTCTGTTCCCCTGCGTTGCTATAGATTTTATAAGAGTGAGCGATGCAAATTCCTTCCTTGGCTGACATATCTTTGAAAGCTTCCATCCCACTCTCTCCATAGTTGCCTGTGTGAAAACAGATAAGCAGAGAAGTAGTGAGATGGCAGTTCTGGGTACACTGGGACCAATTAAGAATGCAGAAGCATTCTTAATGCTTCTGGGAATGGGAATATGAAGGTCACTTGGTAGTATTGAACTTGGAGCTGGAAGACCTGAATGAGTTTTTGCTCTTTCATTGACTTGTTCATTTAGGCAATTTACAATGAAACTACATTACACATATATGTCTTGAACTGCAAATTCTGTTTTTAAGGAGAGAAAGAGAAAATAGTATAAAAAGGAGAAGCAATTCAGCTTCCCTTCTGACTTAAAAAGCTCATACTCTAGTGTGAGATGATGGAAGACATTCATCTGCTATATTTTCATTCTATCTCCCTTCCCTTGGCTCATCTCATCCTACCAGTTCAGATTCCTGTGTTTAAAGGCACAATATATACACTTAATATGGTATAGATGCCATTGTAAAAATAACACATGTTATATTTTTATAGACTATTATGCATATTTTATTCTATTAGCAATCGTAAGAATTTGTGGCTTTATCCCAACTGAAAATTCCATATCCTTGCTTGAGATTACCTGCTTATGCAGGTAAATGCATAAGCTTCAAATGAAACATTTGAAGTTTCACTCTGTACAATCATAGGGAAGTTAGTGATTTGGGGGAGTAATTCCAAAGTTTTCTACAAACCTGGGGAGCCTAAGGACTGATGGTGGTCCTTTAAATTAATGAGAAGTTGTGATCAATACTGATAATCAACTTGTATGCCAGGAAGTGTACCAAAACCTTTATAGATGTGATCTTATTTAACTCTCACAAGAATATACTGAGGTATGCATTATGAATTCCATTTTGCAGATAAGAAAACAGATGAAGCAGTTGGGTTTATACCTGCCCAAAGTTACATACTCAGAGGTAGAATTCTATACTACATTCTCAGTTCTAAGATTGCAGATTCTGCTTCCTCCACTTGTCCATGGCTGACTTTTGGAAGACTCAAAAGTCCAATTATATCTACATTTCTTTTTCCCATTTAAAGGTCATGATACTTTAATTTTAGATATTTTTAGAGCCTCTTAAGGCTCTATAAATCATACCAGACTCATTTTCCGAGTTTCCAAAAGATTAGGTGGGTAGGGGGTAATGATTTAAAGAATACAGGAGCCTATTACAAGACAAGCATGCTATGGAGCATCTAAGGATGTAACCAGCCTCACAATCAGCAAGACCAAGCAATGGGAATTTCATCAGGAAGACATCTTCAATGAATAAGGGAGTAAAAGGCATTTGGTTGCATCAGTTTCAATATATGACTCTAATAGAGGTCATTTATAAATCACTATACCTGTATAACATTTTGATTTTTGAAGTCACTTCATATAGATTAGCTCATGCTCCTTACACCAACTCTGTGATAGAGGTGATATTATCTTCCATGCACAACTGATAAAACTGAAGTTCCCATTTAGCAAGTAGGTGGCCGAGTCTCGTTTTGAACATATAACGTCTCACTCCTGACCCTGTGTATGTTCCACCTAGAGCAGATAATGAGATCCTCTTGCTGGAAATGAGATCCTCGGACTTTGAGCATGGATTTTTATGTGGTTTTATTTTCCCGAACGAACTGTAAAGTGCAAAGAAGAACAGGATGGCTTAAGTTCTAGCCAAAAAACCTGATGGGCCAGCTGCATCTTTCTTTTTTCTTTTTTTCTGGAGAAAAATCCAGAAATAAAATAACAAGAATCCTCTATGATGATGGAAAATGGGCAATGTAGTTATTTTGCAATTAACAAAGTTTAAAGGACCCCCTCTGAAAAACATACCCAGGGGCCTAAATTACTAGTTTTATACTAATCTGAGTAATGTATTATTCTCTGTTTTATTTTTAGCCAACTCTATTTTCCAACTGACTGTCTTGCACTTAATGCTTTCATTAGTACTGGGGTATTTGCATAAATAATTTGAAATTAGGTACACAGTGATTGTGATGGCAATGATAAAAATTCTCAATTTATTTGCAGTTAAATAAGAAAAAAAAACAACTGAGGAATTCATAATCTTTAGCTCCTCTCCCAACAATTATTTTTGTTTAAGCAGTAAGTTAAAAAAAAAATAAGCAGTAAGTTATACAGAAGCAGCTTGTAATAGAGAATCTTGTTATTAGAGTGATTTGAGTTCTAATTCTGCTTGGATAGTCTCTCTAAATCTAGCTTTTTCACCTGAAAATCAGAGGTAACACTGCCTAATATATAAGTATTTTGTATATTATATATGTTAAGTATTATATCTAGTTTAATTATAATAAATGCTTACGATTATTATTATATTGATATGTTCTATAATTAATTACATATACTATGCAATAGTATATATAACATGTATGAATATTATATATAGTTATAACAGTTACTATAAAATAGTATAGTTATAGTAACTATAATAGTAACTATAATAGTTACTATAAAATAATATATATGTTAACTATATGAAATATTTGATAGGTAGCCTGAACCCAATTAATTGTACCTATTGGCACTAAATGTTCTAGATATAGTGAAGCTGCTCTCTCCTAGAGCATGTAAGACAAATAATGGAGCAAAAGGCATTAATACTGAACACTGGATTGAAAAATGAACTTAAACTAGTTGGGGAAATATTATTTTCTTATAACAAAGCCCAAGCCATACTCTTTAAATTTAAAAGAGGAAACAGTTTTAATATATGTGTGATGTAAAAATTCTGCAGCATAATTTTGATTTAATAAAAGCCACTATAGGCTGAGAATTAAAAATGGGAGCATGTATTCTAATAAAACTAGGAAGCCTAAATTCAGTGTTGAGATCTTTCAGTAGTTGATATAAAGACTGGAATTACACATTTAAAAATAAAGAATAAACTACTGAAAAGTTCATTAGCTTCTCATAGGAAATGAAATAGATTTCAAGCAATGTACAAGATGAGAAAAAGCTGAGGAAACAAAGATTAATTTTTCCAACAGGGTAACAAAAACAATAAAGGAAGGTACAATGTAAAATATGATACTAGCTGTGGCTTCATTTCAACTAACTGGTAAAAGCAGGAAGGAATCCATCAGACACTCTTTTTTAAATAGCGGAGGGCTGGTGATTCGGAATTGTGAGGAAAAAAATGTAATCAAGGCTTTACTGCAACAATGCAAATGCCAATTATTGATTTTCAGCTTTATGAATCCACACAGGGACAAAACAAAAAACTCATTATGCAATAGAAATAAATCTTATCAACCTTTACCAAAAAATTAAAGGAAAAGATGATAGGTTGAGAGACAGAAGCTGGGAGAGGTGAGGTGTTAAAATCCTTCATGTACAATTTGGAAGTCAAGATACACAGAAAACAAAAGATGAATTATTTGAATCTAAAAAAGTAAGAGACTAATCTAAAATAGAATTATATTTAAGGGATGATACATAAATTAAGAGATGCTTATTTTCCATAAATTAAAAAGTAGGCATTAAAAAAAAGCATATTGAAATAAGGCAATCAGAGAAAGAAAATTATCATTTGATCTCTCTGATATGAGGAATTTTAGAGGCATTGTGGGAGGTTGTGGGGGGTAGAGAGGGAAAAAAATGAAACAGGATGGGATTGGGAGGGAGACAAACTATAAAATACTCTTAATCTCACAAAACTAACTGAGGGTTGCTGGGGAGTGGGGGTAGGGCGTTAGGGTGGCTGCGTTATGGACATTAGGGAGGGTATGTGTTATGGTGAGTACTGTGAAATGTGTAGGGCTGATGATTCACAGACCTGTACCTCTGGAGTAAATAATACATTATATGTTAATAACAAAAAAAAATTAGGGAGGGAGGGGCAAGATGGCAGAGGAGCAGGAGACCTAAATCATCAAGTCCCAGGAGTTCAGCTAGATAGTTATTAAACCATTCTGAACAGCTACTAACTCAACAGGAGAGAGAAGAGAAGAAGAGCAACAATTCAAGGAACAGAAAATTGACCACTTTCCGGAAGGTAGGACGTGTGGAGTAGTGAATCTGAGGCAACATTTGAGAAGATAGACCATGGGGGGAGGGGCCGGATCCTAGCAAGTGAAAGCAGTAGAGCATAAAATTGGAACTTTTAGAAATCCGCTCCACTGAGGCATGTTGCTCCAAAGGCTAAGCGGGGGTGAAGCCCTCCCGGGGACAGTGTGGTTTCAGGACCCACGGGGTCACAGAAAGACCAAGGGTGTCTGAGTGTGGCAGAGCTGCCAGGTATTGGAGCAGGGAAGCTGAATATAGAGAATACAGAGATGGAGCTGAAGAGTGAGCTCTCAGCTCTGGGTTACCTTGTACTGTGCTCCAAGGCACAGTTGGGCCACTGCTCTTGGAGCAGCAACCCCACAGGTAACAGATTCAGAGAGAAACCCTCCTTCCTCCTTTGGGAGGAGTGGCACAGGAGCATGAAGCAGGAGTCTGCTGGGCTTGGAGACTCTAAATGGGACCATGCACCAGAGATAGAAATGCTCGGTCACAGGCCGGGTGAGCACAGAGTGTGGCCTGAGACCAGGGAGACGGCAGGGACTGACCATTTTTCTGTAAGGTTGCATTGAGAAATGGGGTCCTGTGCTCACTTCGGCAGCACATATACTAAAATTGGAGAAATGGGGTCCTGAGCTCTCTGCTCTCATTGGGTTGGAGATTGGGAGGCTGCCATTTTCATTCCCATTCTCCAAAGCTGTATGGAAAGTGGTCAGGGAACAAAAGCTACGAGAGCGAACCTGAGCAGATTGCTTAGCCTGGCACCTGGCAAGTGTGTTGTAATTCAGCAAGAACATCCAGCCAAGACCAACTTCAATAATCAATGAGAAGTGTGAAACTTCAGAACTAAGGGAATGCAACACATAAAATTCATAGCTTTATTTCCATGATTCTTAAGTCATTTAAAGTTGAATTTTTTTAATTTTATTTTTTTCTTATTCTATTTTTTGAAATTTTTCCTCTTTCCTATTTTAACATTTTAAAATATTTTA